TAATCTTACTAATAAAATAATATATATTGAGATAATAATATGCCACTTTTACCTACAAAATTTATAAGGGCTAGTCAGGTGCGGTGGCACACACCTATAATCCCAGTGTTTCAGGAGGCGGAGGCAGAAGGATTATGTGTTCAAGATCAGCCTCGGCAGACTAACCCACAAAATTACAATTATCTTATATTAGACAAAGGTACCAAAAACATGCACTGGAGAAAAAATAGCCTCTTCAACAGATGGTGCTGGGAAAACTGGAAATCCATATGCAACAAAAAGAAATTAAAACCTTATTTCTTACCACTCACAAAACTCAACTCAAAATGGATCAAGGACTTAGGAATAAAACCAGAGACCCTGCATCTAATAGAAGAAAAAGTAGGCCCTAATTTCCATTATGTGGGATTGGGCCCCAACTTCCTTAATAAGACTCCTGTGGCGCAAGAATTAAAATCAAAAATCAATAAATGGGATGGAATCAAACTAAAAAGTTTCTTCTCAGCAAAAGAAATAATCTGTGAGGTGAATAGAGAGCCTACATCTTGGGAGCAAATCTTTACCCCTCACACATCACATAGAGCACTAATCTCTAGGGTAATATAAAGAACTCAAAAAGCTAAGCACCAAAAAAAAAAAAAAATAACCCAATCAATAAATGGGCCAAGGACCTGAACAGGCACTTCTCAGAAGATGATATACAATCAATCAACAAATATATGAAAAAATGTTCATTATCACTAGCAATTAGAGAAGTGCAAATCAAAACCACTCTAAGATTTCATCTCACTCCAGTCAGAATGGCAGCTAGTATGCATACAAACAACAATAAGTGTTGGCGAGGATGTGGGGGGAAAGGTACATACATTGCTGGTGGGACTGCAAATTGGTGCAGCCAATATAGAAAGCAGTTTGGAGATTTCTTGGAAAATTGGGACTGGAGCCACCATTTGACCCAGCTATCCCTCTCTCCTGGGTCTATACCCAAAGGACTTAAAACAGCTTACTATAGGGACACAACCACATCAGTGTTTATAGCAGCACAATTCACAATAGCTAAACTGTGGAACCAACCTAGATGCCCTTCAGTAGATGAATGTATTAAAAGAAATGTGGCATATACACAATTGATTATTACTCAGGAATAAAAGAGAAAAAAATCATGGGATTTGCAGGTAAATGGATGGAGTTAGAGAAGATAATGCTAAGTGAAGTTAGCCAATCCCAAAAAAACAAATGCTGAATGTTTTCTTTGATATAAGGAGGCTGATTCATAGTGGGATAGGGAGAGGGAGCATGGAGGCAGGGATGAACTCTAGATAGGGCAGAGTTGTTGGAAGGAAAGAGGGGGACATGGAGTTATAAATGATAGTGGAATGTGATGATCATTATTATCCAAAGTACATGTATGAAGACACGAATTGATGTGAATATACTTTGTATACAGCCAGAGATATGAAAAATTATGCTCTATGTGTGTAATAAGAATTGTAATGCATCCCGCTGTCATATATAAATAAAAATTTAAAAATTAAAAAAATAAAAAGAACTATTTAAAAATGAATAAAAATAAGATCAGCCTCACCAATTTAGCAAGACTGTAAACAACTCAGCAAGACCCTGTCTCTAAATAAAACATAAGAAAAGGCTGGAGATGTGGCTCAGTGGTTAAGTGCCTCTGGGTTCAATCCTGGGTAACCCCCACAAAATTATAAAGGTTAAAAAATAAGTATTTAGAAAATAGGCACTCAACTATTCATATATTGCTGGGGTTAATTTAAATTGATGTATCTATTCTGGTGGCCACTGTGGCAATGTGTTTCAAAAACTTTAAAATATATATACATTTTGACTGCACATTCTTCTTCTAAAAACTCATTCTATTAAAATAACCATGGATATGAATATAAGTAGGCTATGAACACTTTATATGATTTTCAGTAACGAAAAACTAAAAATTACCTAAGTAACAGTTATTTGTTAGCTAAAGTATGATTCATAAATCATTCTTTATTATATAATGATCAAAATACTACTACATAAAAATTAAGGCAATATCAAAATAATAAATATGTTTCTATTTAAAGGAAAGTTCTGCAGATACTAAAATACAATGATCTGTATTATATACTACTAACTTTGGAAAGTTATATGTAGAAAAGTATAAATGGCATGCTACCATTTCAGTAAAATACATATACATATTTGTCTCATTAAACCTGTATCATCTCTGGGAGAATACATAAAGAATTGCCTATGGGGGAAAAAACTAAGTATTTGGGGACAGATTACAAATGCACCTTTAAATTTTCAATCATGTGAATATATTTATTTTTAAAAGTAAAATAATATCATGGAATAATAAAAGACATGTGAAGGAGTTCTACTTTGAACATCACTATGTAAGCTCCTATCAGACCAACCCTCCCTAATATAAACTTGGAATAAAAATGCAGTGAACAATTAACCTGAAGGCTCTTTACAACTAACAAAGGCAAGAAAATTTGGAGGTGATGTGGATGAGAGGATGATGCATAGGGTGAGTTTCCCAATTTTTTTATGACTGCAACTTATAGGACGTCCACAGTCAGTGCTGTACTGGCAGCAGTAGATAACCTTGGTATTTCTGACCTCAAGAACCAGAGGTCAACCACAAGCACTGGAAAGTGAAGGGCAAATCCCATAATGCAGAGAGTCAGGCAGAAGAAATTCTAAATTCTCTGTTCAAAACAATAACAAACAAACAAACAAAAAAAAAAAAAACACGTGCCCAAATAGCCCAAATATTCATCTGATCCCTAAATAATCATGTGGGGCAGAATGCAAGAAATGGACTGAAATTTGAGCCAATGATAGTTTGCAGATTGAGTATAATCAATTAAGATGAAGTATCTGTTAAAACAAGTTATCCATTTTTTATTAGGTAAATTTGGTGTTCTGTGGATTTTAAGGAATTGGTTCATTTCCTCTGAGTTAATGAATTTAGGAGCATAGAGTTATTTGTAGTATTCCTTTGTTACTTTCCTAAAGTCTGTGGAGCCTATCATGAACTCTTATTTCTGACACTAGTCATTTATATCTTCTTCCTCCCCAGAATTAGACTTAAACCAGCCCCAAAGGAAAGATTACTATAGAGCTACCCTAATAAGGCTTAAAAATAGGCCTAAAGGAATGAAAATACTAAAATTCCAACAGTGTTCCAAAGAATACAAAATTGCAGCATTCATCAAATAAAATCATAATGCCCACCATCCAATCAAAATTACTAGATCCTTGAAAATGCAACTCCCCCTCCCGCAAAAAAGATGAAAATTTGGTCACCGGAAGACAGACTCAAAAATTATGGAGATGATATTGTTAGCAGACAAGAATGCTAAAATTTCTATTACATTGCTATATGCTCAAGGATTTAAAGAAAAACACAAAGGTAATGAGTAGACAAATGAAAGATAAAGAACCAAATGAAATTTGTAGAGATGAAATACAATATCGAAAATGAAAACATCACTAGATGAGATTTAACAGCAGATCAGATAATACACAGGAAAAGTCAGAATACTTGAGGACATTACAGGAGAAGCTATTATAGTATAGATAGAAACTTCATCCTTTCATCAGAATCCCATGTAATTTAAATGTTTTCAGTGCAGTTACATGTAGATTTATTATAGTACATTTTCCATTAGATAGGTAATTTGAGTAAAATCTGAATATGTATTGTATCAAATATTCACAAAGTAGAGTTAGAAATACACATATGCTGAGGTCTTGTATGGTTTACTAATTCCAAACCAACATTTGTTTCTCAGCCCCACACAGGTAGCCCACAAAATAAATGTGGTTGAGAGTTCAATCTCTCATAAGAGACTGTATTGACTTATAGCCTGAAAAAGCAGGAAGCTCAACTCTAGGCTAGGAATCTAGGCAAGAAATACAGTAGCATTTTTTAGATTTGTACCTTGGGAAAAAGCCTAGCTCCTATTTTCCAAACAAGTCTTTGACCTAGCCATCTGTGCTTTCATGGATGTTAAAACTCTAGCCTGTAAGGCTTAGCTCCAATGCAGAATCCCCCTGCCCTTTGACCCAGAGATGAGGAGGACTGTCTGGGGGCGGAAATATTCCAAATCTTGCTCATATTATAGGTTTTCTCTTCATTTTTAGAACCTGGTGATTTCCTATTCTTATATTCAAATTTAGTTATATATGCTTTTAATGACTATTTTATTCAATATTTCTGAAGTTTTGAAGTGGGAAGGAGGGAATTCTTGTATCTGCTCAGTTTGTCTTCTCAACCAGAACTTCTAGATATAATTTACAGTAATAAAATAACCAATAAGAGTACTATCAAGGGGCTGGAGCTGTAGCTCAGTGGTAAGCGCTTGCCTTGTATATGTGAGGCACTAGGTTTGATCCTCAGCACCATGTAAAAATAAATAAACATACTGTATGTTTATCTACAACTAAATAAATATTTTTTAAAAAAAGAATACTATCAAAAGATAAATACAAGAAGTAGCAGCAATAGTCAAAGAAGCATGTTTCCATGTTTCAAAAAATTCTGAGAGCCGGGTAGGGTGGTGCAAGCATGTAATGCCAGCAGCTCAGCAGGCTGAGGCAGGAGGATCACAAATTCAAAGCCAGGCTCATCAACTTAGCAAAGAACTGGGAATGTGGCTCAGTAATTAAGCACCCCTGAGTTCAACCCTGGTACCAAAAAAAAAAAAAAATCTGAGAAGTAACCACAATTTTGTTTGAAGAATATTAACAGAATTTTTTTAAAGTTTCTAAGAAATGAAAATCTGAACTTTCACATAGAATCATTACCTTCCCACAATTATATATTTTACACATCTCAAAAAATAGCTTACATCATCATACTGTTTTCAGTTTTAATGACTATATTTTTACTAAATATAATTCCTCAAAACAGATTTATCACTCCTACATTATATCCACAAAATGTAATTTGTTTTTTGACATTATTAAAATGCTAAAATTACCTTTGTGTTTATTCAGAAGCTTGTAGCCCTCACAGTATCTGCCTGATGAAGTCATCATCTTGGCTGTGTCAAGATAAGAATATGTTGCAGCAAAATCAAATTCCTTTTTACCATCCCACCATCCTTTCTGCTTAGCATAGTTTCTCATGTCTGGATGTTCTTGGTCAATCTTGGTTGTTATAGAAAGCTGATTAGAAATATTACGAACTCCCTCTATTTTCAAGGAAAAGGGAAATGAAAATGAAAAGTTATGTTTAACATTAATGTTCCATCTATACATTATAAATTCTCAGTCACTATTTAAATGTAAACATAGACTTCTAAATTTTGTGCTATGTGCATCTATTGCATATTCTAAGAGACAATTTTTAAATGATTTTTTTAGAGAGAGATAGAGAGAATTTTTTAATATTTATTTTTTAGTTTTCGGCGGACACAACATCTTTGTTTGTATGTGGTGCTGAGGATCGAACCCGGGCCGCATGCATGCCAGGTGAGCGCGCTACCGCTTGAGCCACATCCCCAGCCCCAAAAGAGACAATTTTTAGAATTAAACTTTTTATGTTCAGATAATTGTAGATCCATATGCAGTTATAAGAAATAATCCAGGGAGAAACTGTGTTCCCTTTACTCCGTATCCCCCAACAAAAACATTTTGAAAAACTAGAGTATAAAGTCACAATCATAATACTGGTAATGATACAGTCAAGAAAAAGAATGCTTATACTACCACAAGAATCCTTTATGTTGCCCTCTTAGAGCCGTACCCACTTGTCTCCCACCCCTAGCACACATGAACTCCAGGCAACCACTAGTGTGTTCTCTTATTTCTCTAAATATTAATTCTAAGAATCCTAGCTTTTTTTTATTCAACATAATTCTCTAAAGATTCATCCAGCTTACTGTAGGTATCAACAGTTCATTCCTTTTTATTGCTGAGTAATACTCAAGGATGTGGATTTACTACAGTTTGTGACACTATTTTTTTTAAGTCATAAATACATTTAAAACAGAAAAAATAAGGCTTGCAAAGATATTGTGGCACAAGTCACAAATAAAATTTTCCACTAAAATACAAAAGAGAAAAAACAATAAAAGTCTGTTTTAAAAAGATCACAATAAATTATATAGCTCATGATAAATGAAAATTGACCCAACCACTCAGGAGGATCACAAGTTTGAGGCCAGCCTAGACAACTTAGGAAGACCCTGTCTCAAAATTTTTTACAAAGGGCTGAGAATGTAGCCCAGAGGTAAAATGTTCCTGGGTTCAATCCCCGTACCACAAAAATAAATGTTAATTAAAATTGATAGTGTTTTGAAACTGACTTAAAAGACAGTCTGCAAAGTAAAAATCAACTAAGTAATTATTCTACTGAAATAATACTTGGGATATTCTTACTATAAAATCGAGACTTAAGTCATAATAGAATCAAGGATAGTGATAAAGTTTCCATCTAAGAGATGACTCCCTATAATTTAACAACTCAGTTTTTTAAAATCAACATATATTTTACTTGACACATAATAATTGTACATATTTATGTGGTACAGTGTAGCATTTCATTACATGTATAATAATGTCTAATAATCAGACCAGGGCAAATGGGTGTATATTATATCAGACATATATCATTTCTTTGTGTTAGGAACATTCAAAGACAACAATTTAGTTCTTGGGCTCATTTAGAAGTAGAGAAACTGGTGACAAAATTAACATACAACTGGATAATGAGACCCAGTGAAGGTGCTTATTTTGCATGACCTAATGAGACTTTTTCACGGAATGTTGAACTATGTTGAATAGAATTCATTTGCCTTTTCATGTAGCATATTTGATAAAATTAAAAGTGCTTAATGATATAATTGGGCCAATTAACACAATAAGAAAATAGAGTCTAAGTTAAACTTTATATATTAAAAAAGATAAAATACATAAAATAAAACATAAAACAAAATATATAAAGCAAAATATATAACAAAATGTCCAACAAAACAACTGGCAATGATCTGTTTTGAAAATAATACCCAAATCCTCCAAAGCTCAAGACTTCCTTTATGAAGCCTTTCTGAACTCCCCCAGCTTACAATGACCTTTCCTTTCTTTAATATTCACAGCATCTATGTGAATCATTCATACAACAATTAACATTTTTACATGTATATATTATCTCCTTAGTAAAACTAGGATATCCTCCTGGATCTCGAACATAATCACATGATTATGTTTGAACACAAGTTGTGCTCTAGTGAAAGAACACTGAACTGAAATCAGGAGATCTCAATTCCAAGTTTTGCATATACCAGTCTCTTACATCTCTGGATTTCCTCACATGAAAAAAATAAAAGGAATATATGATCAAAACAAAACCATGGGAAAGAAAAAGCAAAGCATTCTAAAGCAAACAAATTGTGTTGTTCTACCCAATGACATAAAATTTTGTTTTACTATTATATCAGCGTACCCTTTCTTTTTTACTGATAACATTAAAATTAAGCATAATAGTGGGATTTATTATTACATATTAGTACATGCACATAATTTAGTCAATTTCATTCACCAGTACCTTCTTTTCCCTCTCCTCTATCCTCCTCCTTGTCCCTTTCTTCTACTCCACTGGTCCCCTTTCTATTTTTATGACATCCTTGCCCCTGCCTTTTATTTTCTTTAGCATCCACATACGAAAGAAAATATGACCATTGAGTTTCTGAGTCTGGCTTACTTCATTTAACATAATGTTCTCAAGTTCCATCCATTTTCCTGTAAATTACACAGTTTCATTCATATTTATGTCTGAATAAAACTCCATTGTCCAAAATACATGTATGAAGGCACGAATTGGTGTCAACATACTTTATATACAACCAGAGATATGAAAAATTGTGCTGTATATGTGTAATAAGAATTGTAATGCATTCCGCTGTCATTTATTTTTAAAAAAATCAATTTAAAAAAGCTCCATTGTGTATATATACCACATTTTCTTTATTCACTTATCCATTGATAGACACTTACAGACAGACATTGGTTCTATACCTTGGCTACTGGGAATTGCATTGCTATAAACATGGGTATGTATGTATAGCTATGCTGACTTTAATTCTTTTGAATAAATACTGAGGAATACCATAGCTGCATCATATGGTGGTTCCATTCCTAGTCTTTTGAGGAACCTCCATATTGATTTCCATACTGGTTATACAAAGTCATAATCCCATAAAGATCCCATAAGTATTCTTTTTCTCCTTCATTCTTGCCAGCATTTATTATTATTTGTATTTCTTGATTACTGCCATTCTAATTGGAATAAGATGAACTCTTAGGGTAATTTTGATTTGCATTTCCCTGATTGCTAAAGATGTTGAAATTTTTTTCATATATTTGTTGACCATTTGTATTTCTTCTTTTGAGAAGTGTTTAATTTTTTCCCCATTTATTGACTGGGTTATTTTATAGATTTTTAAAGTTCTTTATATATTATGGATATTAATCGTTTGTTGAAAAACTAGCTAGCAAAGACTTCTCCCAGATTGTATACTCTCTTCATGCTCTTTTTTTACTTTGCTGTACAGAAGCTTTTCAATTTGATGCAAACCCATTTATTAATTTTTGGTACTATTTCCTGAATTTTAGGAGTCTTGTTGAGGAAGTTGTTGCTTGTCTGTACCTATATGTTGGAGTGCTGACCCACTTTAAAGTTGCCAAGTTTCTGGTCTGATTCCTAAGTCTTTCATCCATTTTGAGTTGACTTTTGTGCAGGGTGAGAGGGATCTCAACCTCAAATTCAGGGTGAGTTTCATTATTCTACATCTGGATATTCAGTTTTTCCACACATTTGTTTAAAAGGCTATCTTTTCTCCAAAGTATATTTGGGGCACCTTTGTAAGGATCAGATGAATATATCTGTGTGGGTCTGTCTCTGTGTCTTCTATTTTATTCCATTGCTCTATGTGTGTTTTTATGCCAGTACTGTTCTGTTTTTCTTACTAGCTTTGTAGTGTAATTTAAAATTGAGTATTCTGATGCCATCAGCATTTTTTTCTTTCCTTTGAGTTGCTTGTGATATTCTGGATTTTATATTCTTCCATATGAATTTTGGGACTGTTTTTTCTAGTTCTGTGAAGAATATTATTGGTATTTTGATGGACATTGCATTGAATCTGTAGATCACTTTTTGTACTACGGCCATTCTGCCTATCCATGAACATGGGAGATCTGTCCATCTTCTAGTGTCTTCTTCAATTTCTTTCTTCAGTGTTCTATAATTTTCATTATAAAGGTCTTTCACCTCTTTGATTAGATTTATTCTTTCTTTCTTTCTTTCTTTAGGTTATTTTGCATGGGATTGTTTTCCTAATTTCTTTTTCAATGGATTGATTATTGGCGTATAGGAAAGTTACTGATTCTTGAATATTGATTTTGTATCTTGATACTTTGTTGAGTTTGTTTATTAGTTCTAGAAGTCTGGGGGAACTTTTTAGATCTTATAAGTATGGGATAATATCACCTGCAAACAGTGATAATTTGACTTTTCCCTTTACTCTTTGTATCCCTTTTATTTCCTTCTCACATAATTGCTAAAATTTCAGAAAATGTATTGAAATATATATACTCGTGAGAGTGGACATTCTTGTTTCACTATATCCTTTCTAACCACCAACCCAAAGACATCCATCTCCAGCTCCATTCCCCTTTTCTCACCTCCATACTTAAGCATGAAAGAATTTTGGTGTTCAGCCCAAAGTTAAAAGAGAACAAGATAGCAAGGGGTTATTAAAAGGAAAAAAGCACTATAAAATAGCCAAAAACTGATGCACATAAAATATACACACATTATATGAAACTCATATAGCCAGAGATAATGCTACCTTTTAACCTTTTCAAGAATGCACTTCATAGTACATGTTCTTTCCAATTTTTAACTTTTCCCCTACAAGTTACCCTTTATTTTGCTGGAATATAAATCTTCAAAGACAATGAAATGCAATATCTTCAGTTAAGGGTATATTTTATTAATAGTAAATTAAATTAAATCACACAAAAAAAGTTGTCCATCTAGATTAATTACCACAAGAGTAAGTTATTAAAGCAAAATCATTCCTTATGTTCTTCGTCTTCTGCATGTGCCCATTTGCCCTACTGCTTTCCCCCACAGGCCAAAGCAGTAAGACCTGCCACAAGAAACTGAGCAGATGTGCCACCATATTCTTGGATTTCCCCCTCTTTCAGAATTGTGAGCCAAAATATATTTGTTCCCTTATAAATAAAAAAAAAAAGTTTTCCATACCTTTTACTTTTTCTGCTGCCCAATGCTTCCCTGCAGTCTCCAGAATCCAGGCTTCATTCCTATCAGCTATCAGGAAACTGTTGTGATAACTAAATTCCACCCTTCCCTCTGTACAGTTTCCACCCTGGCCATATTTCTCTAACAAATCAACAATGACCTTGAGGGCTTTTTCAGCTGTGTCAGCTCTTTCAAGGCCAAGTCTAAAATAAAAATATTAAAATAAACTTTGTTTATTTTTCTGAAATATTTTCATGCTCATATGACTTTGTGTTTACATTCAAAGCAAAAATTCTTTCAAGTTAACAAATAATATGAAATCTAATTTTTAAACTTTTTGACTTGGTAATTTATCGGCAAGTTACTTTATATCTGAAATTCAGATATCTCATTTGTAAAATGATGATAGTAATACATATTCCATAAGGTTATTGTGTAAATTACACAATTATATTAGGTACTTCCAATGAATCATGATTTCCCTCTCCTTCCCTTCTCCCAATTAATGATCTTTGATAGCCATGAAATTGCATGCTGAAACTCTAAAACATTTTTATCTTTGATACTATAAAGTATCAAAGTCCAAAAAAATAAAAATTGAAAAATAAAATAGGTAAGAATTATACCAAGATTTAACAATTAGACAAGTTCTATAATGAAAAAATATAACACACAAATAACCTGACAAGGTCCATGCCCAGTAGTGCTTCTTCATCACAAACTTCTTCTCTTCCCCATACAGCTTCATTCCCAATGCAAACTCCAAGCTCATTGGCTCCCATTTCTGCCCCCCACAACCAAGCAGGGCGACTAAGGACAACAGCATATGTTTCCGAAACTTGATCAATTTCTATATAAGTACACTGTTAAAAAAAAAAAAAAAGTCATATCCATAACCACAAAACCAAAAAAAGTTATCAAAATCTAGAATTTCAAAAATCATTCAAAAGATACACCATTATCAAAGAGGTCAATGAAATATAACTAAATTGAAACTTTTAGTAATAAAGGCATTACTCTTAAAATATTCAGAATTAATGCTAAATCATTTATTCATCCAAATAATGGCTGAGTATCTCCTACCATAAAGTACTCTGCTAAAAGAGATCTTAGTTATAAAGACTTAATCAATACAAAGCTTACTTCTAACAAACTAAGACTTCTACATTAAGACACAACAAAATATAAAGTACAAGGGTCATGAAGAGAAGTGAACATGAGGCACTACAGAAGCTCAGGAAAGAATTCTAGTTGTAAAATCTTGAACATTTTTTGCAAAGGAAGATGTATAGGAATTGATGATTAAGAAAGGAATTCTCCAGTTGTGGTTGTGGTTCAGCAGTAGATCACTCGCCTAGCACGTGCGAGGCCCTGTGTGCGAGGCCCTGGGTTTGATCCTCAGCACCACATAAAAATAAAATAAAGATATTGTGTCCATCTACAACTAAAAAATAAAATATGAAAAAGAAATGAATTCTCAACCTCAATGTCCAGTGTTTCCTAATTAGGCACACATATGGTAACCCCTAAATACAGGAGTATTATCATAGAAGTCTATATCACTTGTGGAAGAAGCCCATCAGGTATGTCTGCAGCAGTGGAAAGAATGAGAACCACTGGTTTACAAGATAGCCAGATTTAAATATAGAGATAAAGTGGAACTGGTATCCCAGATGAATAAACAGTTTCAGAAAAAGAAAAAATATATAGCCTAATATATAGAAAATGTCTAATATATCTGAGTGTTAGAATGTCACAGAATTAAAATACAAAAAATACATAACTTAGCAATAAAATATAAAGTGAAACTTTCACTTTAAAGTTCCATAGTAAATTATTTCTTAAATAAAAATTTTAAAGGATCCTTCAATTCATTTGTATACTATCAAGTGACTGAATAAAATGCATGTTGTTAGTGCTATTGCAGGGCTCAATAAACCTTTTAACGAATCATAAACCTTTATCCAGAATCTGGATTAACTTTTCTTATTCTACACCAATCAAAATCTTTTTTGTCTAACAAACTTCCTAGTGAAGCTTTCCTTGATCCCTAGTCTGAATTACATGTTTCTCCTATGCTGCAATATGTTGCTCCTACTTAAATTTATCATTTAATTTATAGTGAGTGGAGTTAGTTGCATATACCTCCTATTCCAACTGTAGACTCTAAGTTCCCATCAGACAACATCTGAATCTTACAGCTGACTTTAAACTCCTTGCTCTAACATGCTTGCATGTGAAAAGTATTCTAATATTTGATCAAAGAATAATTTTCATTAGTTATTTCAATTTCTTCCAAATCATTGAAATAAAAACCAGAAGCCTATTTCTAATTCAATTATTTTTCATATTTGAATTCTTGAATTTTAACTTCTATTATCTCTTCCAAATTGCTAGTTAATGATAGTAATAACTGTTTTATGATATTTTAAAAGTAGCATATTGCTAACAAAACATGTATTTCAGATTTCCTGTTTTCTGGGATACTTTGGTTTGCAATTTGAAGCAATGAATATCTCTGACATGCTAGAGGGCTCTGCCTGTTTTTTTGTGTCAATTCATGGCCTTAGTGATTTGTCTGTAAACTATTCTAAATTCTGGCTCCTGGTCAGAATTAGACAAATGCCTTTTGTGAATAACATGCCACCCCAGAACTCATATAGGAACTGGTTGTCTTGTAGGCAGAGTGATGCCTGACTTCTTAAAATTCATTTATACTCACCTTCTGTGGCATCAAGAAATATGAACACCCATGGGATATTCTCACTGAAAGTTGTCACATATAAACCAGTGTTTTTAAATATTAGAGGTTACACCTAACATCATGCTCTGTTCAAAGGAAGTTTTCATTCACTGTTGTGTAAAAAGAGTTACGGAATAATAGTGCTACATCTGGAGAAACAATCCAAGGGCCAGTGGGAAACAAAAATTCAACATCATCTCAAATAGAAAGTTGGGGACCCTTCTAAGAGTGTCAGACAGAAGCAGTTTTTCCCTTGGTGGACTGTCTAATTTTTATTGCTTGGTATTAAGTGGAGAAATTAAGCTATAGATTCTGGTGTTTAAGACAACCTTGGTACTCTGGCGATGTGAGGACTGCACTGCCTCTTAGAAGATGGACTAATATCTATGGGTGTTACCTTTTACTTTTTTAATGACATTCTTTTAAAAATGAGTTTCTGGGCTGGGGTTGTGGCTCAGTGGCTGAGCACTTACCTAGAATGTGTGAGGCACTGGGTTCAATTCTCAGCACCACGTTGAAAAAATACATAAATAAAGGTATTGTGTCTATCTACAACTAAAAAATATTTTTTTAAAAAACGAATATTTTTAAAAAATGAGTTTCCTCTGTTGTACATATTTATGCACTCTTTGTGAGGTGAAGGTGCTTCCCAGATTTAGACTTGGAATGAAGACAATTTTTAAAAATAAAGTTTTGAATATCTAGAAAATAAAAATATATATTTCACCTACCTTAAGAGGTTCTCTGCTATCATGAACTGCAGCAGGAAAATAAACTACCTCTTGTACTTCATCACAGAGTCTGTCTGAATTTTTTCCAAAAATAATCCTCTTATCAATTGTTGCTGGGGGTAATGCCACAAATGTATCACAGGAATAGGGCTCCATTTTCTAAACAACTACAAAATCACATAGAAGTTTTTAAATAACAAGAGAAAACATTTTTAAGTATATACAAAACAAATACTCCTACTCTCTGGCCAAGGGATATTATTACCATGTCTAATGAAGGGTGTTCATTAAAGCTTTAAATATCATATACTATAATACAATAATCAATATGACTTAAGAACCAACCATGAACTACAAGAATCAACAAGAAAATAGCAATGTGAACTACTTTCTTCTAGCTGATGGGTCAAATTTATTCTCTAAAACCTTTCTCTCCTAAAGTCTCCCCTGAATTTCTTTTCACTATTCCTATATTTGGGAATCTCTACACCTAGCCTACTGTTATAAAGGCTATATTCTATATATTTGTGCACCAGTCCTCTTATTGGCAATAAAATCCTTAAGAGGTAAGAGTATGCCTTAATTATCTTTGTATTGTTATCATTGAAACTTACAGGGGAAAAAAAAAACGTTTTCAGTATTTTCTCGAAATAAGAAAGAAAAGGTTTCCTTTGACCTAAGGAAGAATATGCACAGATTATAATATTAAAAAGACAGAAATTTTGAAACACATTCACTACTTCAAATATAAAAAATGTCAATGAAATTCCAATTGTCAATATTTCATGGTGGAAGTTCACAAATATAATTTGTAAATCCTGATTGTAGAATTTCATATGTAGATTGTCTTCACTAGAAATTTGAAAAATTTAAATCATCAATTTTAGTAGTATACTTAAGTATTCTATGCTTTATTTTGCTTTCAGAATAGACACATTGTTTTAGCTTTTTATTTTATAATGCCCAAACTCCTGAAGTTTTTCTCTTCTCAATGATGAGAAAGAGGTCACTATCCTTATTGTTCTTTCCTTTGAGTATTTCAACTTTTCTGTCTTGCATCTCCTTCTATTTGTGTTCCAAAGTTGGTTCCACCACTACATAACTTTGGCAAGCTATTTAATTGTTCTATGCTTGCAGGCTCAATAGTAGAATAAAAGATTAAACAGAGCTATTACGGGGATTTCAATTAGACATGTTAAGCGTTTTGCTTAACATGAAACATAGTAGATCCTCAAATGAAAGCTGTTATTATCTGGCAGAAGAGTAAAGTACACAAATAGTTTAGTCTAAACCCCGCTAGAGGACTTGGTTGATGTGTGCTCTATAATAATAGCTGCCACATCTACTCAAAACCCTGGAGTCCTGACGTCCATCAAGCTGCACTAGGAGATCTCAACCATCCAAGAGGGGTCGTCAGGGAAGCTAGGTACAATTGCTGCCTAGTTAGAATGGTACTTGGCCCATGAGGACATGAAACTTGGACTCTCACGCCATTTATCACTCAACAATTGTTTGCTGAACATCTTTCTGCACCAGGAACGTACAGCTGGAAATAACTAGAAACAAAAAGAGCTCCCGCTCTTGTAGAGCTGACATTCTATTTTATAGCTTTCAAAAAGTATCATCACATCGTTTGAACCTCACAATCGTACTCCAGTTAAAGCGAGAATTACTCTTTCCACAAGACAGGTGAGAAACCCGGTGCAGAAAAGTTTTTGCAACTCGCGTCAGCGTTCAACGAAAGCAATGGGCTCGAACATCTGACAGCTGGTAGAAAGAGCCGTCACCGCGGACCCCATACACTGCATGAGACGATCAAACCGCTGTGGCCCCGAGTCCCGCGGTCAGGCAGCGGTGCGCCGCAGCTAGTCCAGGGCTCTGGCCTCCGCTGCGCACGTTCCTCCCTCTGCAAGCCCCTCACCTGGCCTCTGCGCTTCCTGAAGTGACAGCTGAAAGTAGCGGGAGGAGGCGCCTGTTGACGGAAGCTGTCACCTTTGACCTAGGAAGTTCCCGCGTCTGCTGGAGGCGCAGTTCCGGTTAGGCGGCAGAGTTTGTTTACGTTGCTCGCTGACCGGTCGGTTGCCTTCCTCAGCTCGGATGCCAAGATGGGGAAATCCTTCGCCAACTTCATGTGCAAAAAGGACTTTCATCCTGCCTCCAAATCCAATATCAAAAAGGTGAGTAGAGGATACCCAAAGGGATCTGGCTTACGGCCACTGGGTTCCCAAGGGCTGCTGAGGTGAGAGTGGTGATGTCACTGGGATGCCGGGGTATCACCTCCTCTCCAGGCCAAAAGCCCAGGTGCTCTCGCCCCCCTTTCCCTCACTGATGAAGCAGGCGCTCTACGTTTGTTCTACATCCAGGACGAGTTGGGAGTCCCTCGTTGGCTTTGTCGGTCAAAGTGTAAATCCATAAAACGTGGAGCCTGCGCTCACAGTTGCTCAATACTTGCCTTAACTGGTTCGGGTTTGGTCTTTTCGAATCCGAGGTTCACGGCTCCTTAGTTCTCTCCTCTACAGAGACGACTGTTTATTTAAGATAGATCGTATAAAAGAAATCACCCCTTGCTTCCTCTCTTCAGCTCACCTTATGGCCTCATTGAATATTAGCGTTTTAAATAATTAATTACAGTCGGGGCGGTGACGCACTCAGGAGGATCTCAAGTTGGCGGCCAGCCTTTGCAATTTAGCGAGATCCTCAGCAACTTCTCGAGACCCTGTCTCAAAATTTAAAAAAAAGAAGAAGAAAGGGTTGAGGATGTAGCTTAGTAATAGAGTACATCTGGACTCAATCACTGGCACCAAAAATAAATAAGGCAAAATTAATTTATTAGAGGCTGGAGTTGTGGCTCAGTGGTAGAGCACTTGCTTAGCATGTGTGAGGCACTGGGTTCAATTCTCAGCACCGCATATAAATAAATGAATAAAATCAAGGTCCATCAACATCTTAAAAAAATATTTTTAAAAAAATAATTAATTAGGGCTGGGGATGTGGCTCAAGCGGTAGCGCGCTCGCCTGGCATGCGTGCAGCCCGGGTTGGATCCTCAGCACCACAGACAAACAAAGATGTTGTGTCAGCCGAAAACTAAAAAATAAATATTAAAATTCTCTCTCTTTCTCTCAAAAAAAAAAATTTAATTAATTAATTAATTACAGTTCAGCTAAGCTCAGGGCAGAAAAACCATAGCGAAAATGATTGTGGTGAAAAGCAAAAGGATGAAGTAAAAAGTCAGAGCTTTGGAGGCAGACGAGGATTCTGACCATTCCAGCATAGTCGGTATTAGACCTTGCATAAAATATTTATATATTTATTTGTTTATTGGTACTGGGGATTGAACCAATGGGCTACATCCCAGCCATTTTTTATTTTGAGACAAGTTCTGCTAAGTTGCTAAGGGTCTCTCTCTACAAGTTGCTGACACTAACCTTAAACTTAGCAATCCTCCTGCAGTCCCTGAATTACAGGCATTGCCACACAAAATAGTTAATATCCCTGATCCAAAATTTCTTAATCTACAAATTGAGGATGATCAGTATCACTTGCTTTGACTTGTAAAGTTGTGAAGAGTAAATGAGATGGTGTATCTCATCCAGCCCCTAGGACTGTCCTCCATAAATATTAACACCTCATACCATTGAACTTCTATCCTTTTCTTTATACCCTGCATTCTTCCTTGAATGTGTATCTACTTTCCTAAATCTCTATCTGGGCCTTTAGGGGGAAAAAATGAGATAGTGTGGGTAGAGGATTTGAAACAAAGTGAGTGCTTAGTACTGTGTGCATCACATACAGGGGGTACTAAAACTGTTAATTGACTATACACACAAACTTGTGAAATGAACTAGGCTTTTAATTTTATATATAGCTTGTTTTATGTTTTTGAGTTTTATATAGCCATGTGAATATGTACATATATATGTAAAGTATGTTACCACCATGTAAATAGAATTATGTTTTATATACTAATGCATATATGTGCATTAGAAAATCTTTGGCAGAACAGAGCATAATAGTGCACACCTGTAATATCAGTGCTTGGGAGACTGAGGCAGGAGGATCACAAGTTCAAAACCAGCATCAGCAACTTAGTGAGGCCCTAAGCAACATAGTGAGACCCTGTCTCTAAATAAAATTTTAAAAGGGCTGAGGGTGTGTGGCTTGGTAGATGAGACCCTTGGGTTCAATCCCTGGTGCCAAAAAAAAAAATCTTTTGCAAGGGTTGGGGTTGTAGCTCAATGGTAGAGCACTTGCCCAGCACATGTGAGGCACTGGGTTCAATCCTCAACAGCACATAAAAATAAATAAGTCAAATAAATATATTGTGTCCATCTACAACTTTTAAAAAATTTAAAAAGAATCTTTGGCAGGATATGCAATAAATGGATAACACTAGCTACCTGTGAATACAATTACTTGATAAAAAATAACTTTTAATAACCAAAACTAAAAAATAAATAACCAAAACTTATAAAGCGTTCTATGCTTGTAAAGCATTCTAATCTATGTCTCATTCTCTTTACTATTTTTATGGTGTTGAGAATTTCACACCGACACCTTTACCCTAAGGTGTTCATGCTCCTGAGCACTTCTGTCTTATTTCTTTGGTTTTTGTTTTGTTTTGTGCTGAGGATTGAACCTAGGGCCTCCATCGTGTTGGGCAAGCACTCTACCACTAAACTAAGCCCCTAGCCCCTGTCTTATCTCTTTGTTTCTTTTCTTGTCTCTTCCTTTTTTTCCTACAATTTCATTTCCTTTCCCTTTTTTCTCTTTCTCCAGTTCTCCTCTCTTAGAGTATTGGTGACACCCAGTAGCATTAGTGGCCATTGCATAACACTACTTCTTATGTCCTATACTAATGGGTTATCTATGTTAGACATATTCTATGTAAAGAAATGCTTTTTTTGCTCTCTGAAATAACGCAGGGACAAGGTGCTGTTGTACCACACATACTGAAAGCAGTTCTCATGTTTGTGTGAAAGTATAGCTATGTTGAATGGTTGAATTTTAGGATTTATATCAATATACAAATAATATTTTTAGATATTATTTTGTGATGATGTCATTATTACTAAATTGGACTGCCATAAACAATGCCATTTTATATTTAATTATGAAAAAAACAAACTTGCTACTTAACTTAAATCCAACTATTTAATTTACTTTTTTACTTTACTCATTTAGGTATGGATGGCAGAACAGAAAATATCATATGATAAGAAGAAACAAGAAGAATTAATGCAACAGTACCTTAAAGAACAAGAGTCATATGATAATAGGTGAGATATGCCTCTCTGCCATTGTTTTTAGAATAATCAATTACAGGAGACTAATCCCTTTACTCTCATAGATGGCCACTTAATTTGACTTTACCCATAATTCACGTAAAATGTATTTTCATACGACTCATAGTTTCTGAGCAAAGCTGGGTGTGGTAGCTACTTCAGAGGTTGTGGCAAGAGATTTGCTTGAGCCCAGGAGTTTGAGACCAGCCTTGGAAAATAGTGAGACCACTGTCACAAAAATAGATTTAATAAACAAAGCACAGTGTATTCCTAGCAGCTCAGGAGGCTGAGGCAGGAGGATTGGAGTTGAAAGCCAGCCTCAGCACCTTAACAAGGCTCCAAGCAACTCATTGAGACCCTGGCTGTAAATAAAATATAAAAAAGGGATAGGGTTGTGGCTCAGTAGTTGAGTGCCCCTGGGTTCAATCCCCTGTACAAAAATATAAATAAATAAATAATAAATATAAGTAAACCAATCAATGAAAATCAAGTAAACTGTAGAACACTCCTCTGTTTATGGGCATTGGGGTTGCTTATACTTTTGAGCTGTTGTGAATAATGCTGTAAATCTTGACATAGAGGTAACTGTTCAAGTTCCTGTTTTCAATTTCTTTAAATATATTTTTAGGTGGGGCTGGGTTTGTGGCTCACCGATAGAGTGCTCGCCTAGCACGGGTGGGACCCGGGTTTGATCCTCAGCACCACATAAAAATAAAGGCATTGTGTTATGTCCATCTACACCTAAAAAACAAATATTAAAAAAAAATTAAAATTAAAAAAATAATAAATATATTTTTAGGAATGGAATCACTGGATCATATAATTCTATGTTTAGCTTTTTAAGGAATCACCAAAATTCTTTTCTATAGTGACTGTGCTATCTTTTATTTTTATTAGAACTTTATAGTTATATATAGTAGTTGGGGGGCTCATCCCAACAAACTCATACATGCATGAAATTTTAATTCAGGTCATGATCCCCACTTTTTCCTCCCATTTCCTTCCCCTCTCCCATTCTCCTTCCTCTACTATACTTCCATTTGCTTATTTATTTATATTTGATCAGTTCTTTTTACTTATGCATAATGGTGAAGTTCCCTGTTGATTTTTGTTTGTTTGGTATCAGGAGTTGAACTCGGGGGCACTCAACCACTGAACCACATCCCCAGTCCTATTTTGTATTTTATTTAGAGACAGGGTCTCATTGAGTTGCTGAGCGCCTCACTTTTGCTGAGGCTGGCTTTGAACTCATGATCCTCCTGCCCCAGCCTCCCAAGCCACTGGGATTTCAGGCATGTACCACTGTTTTTGTTTTTTAATTTATTTTTTAGTTATAGGTGGACACAATATCTATTTTATATTTATGTGATGCTGAGGATAGAACCCAGAGCCTCACGCATGCTAGGCGAGCGCTCTACCTCTGAGCCACAACCCCAGCCCCTCCCGGCCACAATTTCTTAATCCATCATTTATTGGTGGGCACCTGGGTTGATTTCATAATTTAGTTATTGTGAATTGCTCTGCTATAAACATGGAGGTGACTTTATTGCTGTAGTATGCCAATTTTAGATCTTTTAGGAAAATACCAAGGAATGAGATAGCTAGGTTATCCTTAGTTTTGTAAGAAATCTCCATACTGCTTTCCTGAGTAGTTGTACTAGTCTACAGTTCCACAAAAATGTA